CACCCACCCTTCGCCAATGGCAAGATAATTTCAGAACGAATGGAGACGGGCGTGGATGACAAGTTTTAGGTGGTGTCTAATGTGACTTAGGAAGACAGCGCGGAATTAAAGAGCAAAATTACGGGGAAAGTTTTTTGCGGATTTAAAATGCAGTTGGGTAGTAGGACCCATAAAGCAGTCAACTATGAAAATTAAAGTTGAAGACACAGACACAGACAGTCATTGACCGATCTTACAAACGTTAACCAAACGTGTAAAATGCGTTTTAGATGAGGAATGATTACTTAAGTGGAATTGCAGGATATATTAACTTGGTGAATAACCCCTAGATAGTTCAGACACACGGATAGTGGCTTTTAAACGAGTGTATTTTGGCCTCCTGAAGATACGTCACTCGGTAAAAAATATGATTGCTGATGCACTTTGAATTTTTCCTATAGATTTTCGGTGCCCATAAAAATTCAAATATATTTTAAATACATAAGCAAACATATTCGTCCTTGTACGCATTTGATAATGAATCACGCCTTCTTTAAATTTAATACTTGAAAGGTATGAAGAGGTTTAAAAAGTTTTCCAATTACTGAATAAATTTGACTTCGATCTGCTGTCCTATTTGCCATAAGGGGTTTTAAGTGCACAAGCTATATGTTTTCTGTGGAAGGAATATCATACATTCCACATTTATTAAGAAGAAAACATAAAATGCCTATGCAATTTTGTAATGGACGTAGGCTAGGCCGTATACTTCATGATGGGGCATTAATAAAATGGGAGATACGATGCGATTTGATTGAACACTACACGGTCTTAAAAGCATTAGCTATTAGAAACTTTTCTATAACCAAAAACGTAGAATTTTTTTGAAACAATTTTAAAACGACGTTATTTGCTATCAGATGAGCACAGGAAATAATACTGTTGCTTATGCTTTCTTTAAAATATATCGAAATTTGTATGGGCATCGAATATCTATAGACAAAATAAGCACCACTTAAGTAGCCATTTTTATGGGGTGAGGCTTTTTGAAGGCGCCAAGAAAACGGTCGTTTAAACATTTGTATCCTGATGTGGCTGAAGTATCTTGGCATTAGGCCCAAAGACAATAAAGCTTACAATTCCGCTTAGGTAATCATTCCTAGTCTAAAATGCATTAACAACTTTCGGTTAACTTTGCATGAGATCGGCCAGTGAGTGAAATAACCAGACTTTCAAAATGCCTAGATCTCACAGTTTTATAGTTAAATATGAAGGTTACTCGCTGGAGGAAGAAGCAATCCAGAATTTTCGGACGAATATTTCTTCTTTAGCCACTGAACCGCGAAATTTATAAAACAAAACAGTTCAATGAGTGTGAATAAGCATCCCAGGACCCCTATAAGTTAATTGCTTCGATTCCGAAACTACAACAATCTTAGTCAATGGAGCAGACGGTATGCACGCTGGTTGAGCGGAGGTTAAAGGTATCCTGTCTGTGGTTGCAGGTAAGCATGACTGGCGAAACGGCTGTGACCCTTGATTTGGAACTGCAAAAGGACTCTGGCGCAATAATTATCGAATTTTTTACTGGTCCCACCGCTCGCACTGATTCTGTCACGTAGGGCCTGCTATCTTGTAAGGAAGGTCATGCAACACTTAATGAGTCATGCGCTTCTATGCTACGCCTCCAGTCTCTTTTTGAGAGCCCGATTTTTCCACCAGCCGATGAGTTCAACATTTAATTTTGGCACAATGCTTCAATATTAAAACAGGGAGCCCATCCTTTCCACTTTCCGGTGGAAGGGCCCCAGATCATATGATCTGTTGATGGATTGCCCCTTAATGCTGGTGAGATACATAGGCCTTGGGAAGTCTTTGTGAAGGGATAAAAATAAGTTATCGCATGGAAATGCCCAGGACTGCTGAACTTGTTGTATAAATGCACGGCGTTCATCGCGACTTGGCATTATGAAGTGAAGCATGTGTTGTCAGTCTGGAAAGACAGTAAACATATTGCATTATTAATATGCGAAAAAATTCGAGGTCCAGATAAAATATCCCTTCCATCATCCCCGGAAGAGGAAGAAGAAGAGACGATTTCTAGGACCAAGGTGTATTTTGGCTGACGTTTCAAAAGCGTGCCCGCTTCCATCGTCAGAGCGTGATGTCTGTACTCCTATTCGCGTCAGACGAATGCGTCTGACCAGTAGCCTTGCCTAATGCCCATGTGTCAATCGATTGCACCGGTCGATTTCTGTGGCTGCTTGAATTGCTCGTGCCCTCACGGGCGTCTTCATGAACTGTGTCAATCCGTTTTTGTGTCTCGTGAGCGTTTCCATCCC